GTGGCCGGGAGCAGCCACCGCACTCCAGTCTGGGCGACAGAGTGAGACTCCAACTCAAAACAAAAAAACAAAAAAACAATATTCACGATCAATCACCTTGAATCCAGATTCAGTAAAAAGCATGAAGAGAACGAAGAAGAAAGTGTTAGGGAAAAATGAGTTTCCCCCCAAATTATCTTGCTATCCAGATGCTGGTCAAAACTGGGCATCCTGTGCAGAAAAGAGTTAACACAGCAGGCCTGAACTACAGTCCTTGGGAAGGCTGGCCTTGGCTGGTGTCTGGGAACTTGGTTATCAGGAGGGTCTCACCAGTTCCTAGTTGATAAGGATGGTTCACTGTGCCTAAACTGTTGGCACAAACAATGTGGTTTATACTGAACACCTGCTTTCCTTCAAGAGTATGGGATTTGGGCACATGCCAGGCAGAGGGCACCTACGTGACCAGCCCCCGGTACAAGCTCTGGGCACTGAGTCTGCAATTGAGCTTCTCTAATTGGCAACATTTTGCGTGTGTGTTGTCACAACCCATAGGGAAACTGCGCGTCCTGTGTGACTCCACTGGGGGCACCCTTGGAGACTTGGGCCTGGGTCTCCCCGGGTCCTGTCCCCATGTACCATTTCCCATTGCTAATGTTACACTGTATCTAAATTACAACCTTGAATACAATCACAGGCTGAGTCTTGTGAGTCCTCCTAGCAAATCACTGAGCCTGGGGCTCGCACTGGGGACCCTGACCCATATATGCATGACCTTGACCACGTGAACAATCCAGCTCACTGATATCCCTCTCTCATCCCCTCTTACCTAAGGTCTGCCAGATGGAAGTGGCAGTTAGAAATGCTTTCAGGTGCAAGTAGCCACACTGTCGGATACCAGCAGGTCGAGCAAGCAGGAGATTCTTTTCCTCTTCCAACAAGACTGCCAGTTGCGCTCAGCAGCTCAACAATGTTGGACCAGGTCAGAGTCTCTGTGACTCTGTGGACTGGCCCTGAGGTCCCAAGCCATTAGCCACAGTTCCCATTGATGTACGGGTGGCAGCAAATAGAGCTGGGGCAAGGATCTCTTTGACATATCTGGTAACTGACATTTTCTGGTGACTCAGGTCACTGACAAGGGATCTGTTATTGAATGCCGCCTTGTCAATACCCAAGCTCTCTCTCCTCCCTTGGGGCTCCCTTCAAATACTGAATATGACTTTTTGGTGTCTGAGCTGTTCTAGGACTTGAATTTGGGCCCGGAGTAGGCATGGGAGGTCTGAGGCTTTCTCTGGGGATAGAGAAAAAATCTCCATTACCACTGCCCCAAGGCAGGAGCTCCCAACCCAGCCTCAGGTCCTGGCTGCCCCTGTACAAGCTTGGCACCCCAAGCACGCACCATCTCTGCTTTTCTGCTTGTAGGAAAACAACCTGATGCCCAACAGGTTGGGGGGGCCAGGCAGGGGCTGTCATGTGGGGAAGTCTGGGAGTCTCAGCCCCCTGGAGACCTGCAGCCTAACATGATGTATCCCCCGGGGTCAAACCCAACTCCTCCATTGCAGCCACCCTGGTGTACAACCCTATCACTATTCTCATAGTGTCCTGTTGGGTCCCCTGCTTCTGTCCCCACCCCTCCACAGCAGCCAGAGGGAGACTACTATGACCAAGTCAGATCATGTCCCTCCTCTGCTTGAAACAATCTGGTGACTCACTTCTACTCCGAAAAAAAGCCAAAAAGCCAAAGTCCTCACCATGACCCACAGAGCTCTATAGCATCTGGCCTGTCCAACCTCATCTACCGTCATACTCTGAGACAGCAAGACTCAGCCTATACAATCCTTCTGGTGTGTTCCAGCCTCAGTGCCTTTGTGCTGGCTTTTTTCTCCACCTAGAATGTTCTTCCCCACACACCATGGCTCTCTCTCACTTCATTCAGGTCTTTGTTTAAATGTCACCCTGTCAGGAACAGCTTCCCTGATGATGTCACCAAAAAGAAGCTACCTCTCCACTCCTCCAACTCTGTCTCTCATCCTCACTGATTTTCTTCATGCCACTCGTCATTAGCTGGCCTAGCATATATAATATTTTTGTCTATCGTCCACTTGCCTCATGAGAACAGGGATTTCTATCAGTTAGGTCACAACTGTATCCCCAGTGCCCAGAACAACTCTTGGAACACAGATGGTGCTCACCAATGTCTGTCAAATGCATGACTGTGTAAAACACTTAAGGTGGTGCCTATGACACAGCAGACATTCACTAAATGCTTGCTGAATAAATGAATGCATCGATGCATGAATGCACAAATGAGTCAATGAATTGCATCCACCTCGTTCCTGGGGCTGCCCACTTCCCCCCCCCAGCAGACCTGGGAGCCGGCCCTCCGCACGACCACAGAAACTTTATTTACAACACAAGGCTGGGGCAGGCGGGGATGGGATGGTGGACAGCGGCAGACTGGCAGGACCTTACTTCTGCTCCCGCCTCCAGACGATGACCATGCCGCTGGCGTCGCTGGAGGCCAGCAGACTCTCGTCGCAGTTGAAGCTGACATCAAGCACGGGCGCACTGTGGCCCTGCAGCTTGTTGACAGCAGCCTTGGCCGCCCGCTCCACATCAAAGAAGTGCACGCACATGTCCTCACTGCCCGTCACTGTTCAGTGAGAGGGACAGGCCATCAGGAAGTGCCTGGGAACCCTGGGTGTGAAGTCCCTGAGGTGTTGAGGGGTTTATGTCCAAGGTGTGAGGTCCCAGCATGGCTTGGGGAGGTCTGAGGGGGACGCCCTAGATGGGAGGTCAGCTGACAGATTTGGTTCTGTGTGTAGAGTAGAAGGCTGCTGAGCTGTCTGGGGGTCTGTGTTTAAAGTGCGAGCTCTCTGAGATGTTTGCAGCTGAAAGTCCCAGTGTGAGGCTCTCAGGGCATGAGAGGTCACAAGGCCCAGGAAGTCAGGGCATCAAGGTGTCACGATGTCTGAGCCAGGTCGGCACTAACCCTGGTCCCTGACCTTCCCCAGCTGCCCAGACGCCTGTCTCTATAGGACTCACCCACGCAGGCCCCCTGGCGGAAGGACATGAGGGGACAAAAGATGCTGCGCACGGGGTGTGAGCTCTGCTCGATGGGGAAGCTTCTCTTCAGCTGTAGGGTCCCTTCGTTGTCCACTACCCTGAGGGGAGGATGAGAGAGCCGGTCAGCTTCAACTCCCGAGAGGGACCAGTGGTGGCCGAGTCTGTGTCCCCACCCTGTGCCTGAGTTATTTATTTATTTTTTTGAGTCAGGGTCTCACTCTGTCACCCAGGCTGGAGTGCAGTGGCACAACCATGGCTCACCACAGCCTCGACCTCCTGGGTTCAGGTGATCTTTTCGCCTCAGCCACCCAAATAGCTGGGGTTATAGGCACTTGCAACCACACCTGGCTTATTTTTATTATTTTTGTAGGAATGAGGTCTCGCCTGGTTGCCCAGGCTGGTCTCGAACTCTTAGGCTCAGGCAATCTTCTTGCCTTGGCCTCCCAAAGTGCTGGGATTACAGGTGTGCACCACTATGCCTAGCTTATTCACTAGTGTTCATTTCTAAGGGTCTCTACAAGATCCTGGTGTTCAGATAGGCACAAAGAGAGGAAATGGACACACTATGGTACGTCTACACTGTGGAAAACTGCACAGCTATTAAAGAAAATAAACCACAGCTCCTGCGGGTGACCTGAGGGCTTCTACAAGGCATTGTCTGATGGGGAAGAGGATGTGAGATGAGGGTGTAGGAGGAGCCCATTTATGGAAAACATGCCCTTCCCTAAAAAACATGTGCATGCCTAGGATTCCTAGAGAGAGGACAATCTACAGAAGGGCGTGTGCTATGAAAGTGCTTTACTGTGGCAGGAGGAAGAAACGAAGGGACGGGCTGGGATAAATGGGCAAAAACTTAAGAGTATACTTAAACTAAAAAATTTAAAAATTAGGGTAGGCCTGGTGGCTCACACCTGTAATCCCAGTACTTTGGGAGGCCGAGGTGAGTGAATTGCCTGAGCCCGCGGGTTCGAGACCCGCCTGGGCAACTTGGCGAGACCTCATCTCTACAATAAAATCAAAAAATTAGCCGGGCATGGTATCACATGCCTGTAGTTCCAGCTACTTGGAAGGCTGAGGCGGAAGGATCACCAGAGCCCAGCAGGTTGAGGCTGCAGTGTCCGGGAGCAGCCACTGCACTCCAGTCTGGGCAACAGAGTGAGACTCCAACTCAAAAAAACAAAAACAAAAACAAAGGAATCTTTCCATCTCCCAATGCCCAGGCCTACCCTAAAGCTTCTGAGATTGTGGGTCTAGGCAGGATTTTCTCACGCTCTTCAGGTCATTGCAATGCGCAGCCCAGGCTGAGAATTATATTTAGGTAATGTGACAGATACAAGTGGGAACAGTAACCCTCTCCTCAAGACAAAGCAAAAAGAAAGAAAAAAAGGAAGGAAAACAGGCCTCTGCTCCAAGAGGCCCCCATCTATTTTATGCCTCAGTTTTCCCAACTGTAAAATGGAGACAACAGCTTTTCCCTCACAGGTTGGTGTGAGGATGAAATGAGGTGACACGTGGGAAGTGCTCCCAACAGGGCAAATGCTGGGTAAGTGCTCATTAATGCTCTCACTCTTACTGCTACTCCTGATCTGTCAGGGAAATTAATCTGATGCAGGAGATGGGCTCTTGTCCTAGTCTACTGAGGAGGCAGGATCTCTCTCCCAAGGAGGCCCTGATGGGGGTGGGGGGGCCCACCTGTAGAGCAGCAGCTTGTTGAGACAAGCGTTGATGAGCAGCGAGGGGTCTCGGGCCTCGCGGCTGACCCAGGAGCGGGCTGAGATGCTGGTCACGGGGCTACCGTCATGCACCACCAGACGCTTGGCTTTGGTCAGCTTCCCTGTAGCAGTGGAGGGAGGGGAGGCAGAAGAAAGGGAGAGGGAGGTGCCCGGGGAGACCTGGGGGGTGTGATCCCAGATGCAGCCCTGTTGCCCCCCTACCTGTGGCCATGTCGAAGAGGAAGGAGAAGACACTGCCACGGTCATCGCCTGCCCAGAGCAGCCGGCCAGGAGCATCAAAGGACAAAGCAAGGACACGGCCTGTCAGCTTGCTGGAGCCGCCCTTTACTTTCTTGCCTGTGGAGATGTTCATGACGTGCACATTGTGCTTGGCATTCCCCACCTGTTGGTAGAACACACACTCCATCACCCTGCTTCCAGCCAGTGCCTCCTTGAGTCTTACCACAGTGGGGCAGCTGTCGATGGGACTGGCTAGTCCCTACTAGAGTCTACTCATAGTGGGACTGTGGGGGGTAGATGAGAAGATCGAGGCATGTAATCCTTCTCCCTAGCTAGCCCCTCTTGCAATCTGCCCAGAGTAGGCCAGCTGCTCATGGGACTAGAGGGGTCTCAAAGCCATAATGCTGGTTCTGGGTAATCCCCCTGCAGTCTGAAAACCACAGGGTTCTCCCAGCCTGCAATAATAGCTTTCCTCTGTTCTTTGGCTGCTCCTGCCTAGAGCCTGTGGGGCAGCTGCTGTTGACATGGATGGCTCTTGGCCATAAGCTCGCTCTTGGCCAGTTCTCCCTACCTGCCCAGGGTCATGGCAGACTTTTAAACTTCCTTCTCCTGCTTTTTTTTCTTTTCTTTTCTTTTTTTTTGAGTTGGAGACTCACTCTGTCACCCAGGCTGGAGTACAATGGCATGCTCATGGTCACCACAACCTCAACCTGCTGGGCTCCGGTGATCCTTCCACCTCAGCCTTCCCAGTAGCTGGAACTACAGGCACATGCCACCGCACCTGGCTAATTTTTTGACTTATTGTAGAGATGAGATCTTGCCGAGTTGCCCAGGCTGGTCTCAAACCCGTGGGCTCAGGAAACCCTCTCACCTCGGCCTCCCAAAGTACTGGGAATATAGGTGTGAGCTACCACGTCTGGCCTTTCTCCTGCTTTCTGATCAATCTTTTCTGAAGTCTGACCACGGTGAAGCTGCTGCTAATAGACCAGCTGAGGCTCAACCTCATCATTCTACTCCCCAGCAGTAGCCCCTGCAGCTGGAAAGCTGTAGGACTGTGGCTGATAGGACCTAAGGGGTCTCAGAGTCAGGACCCTGGCCTCGACTGGTACCTCCTGGAGTCTACCCTGGGAGAGCAAGGCTATCCCAGACCAAGAATTACACTCCCACATCCTCTGGCCTGTTTCCCTTTGGGTCTGACCACAGTAGGACTGCTGTGATGGGACTGCGAGGTCCCAGACACCCTAGGCCATCCCCCCTTACACTCTGATTCCCTCAGGCAGCCCTCCTGACCCGGCATGCCCGCCCTTGGTGAGCGGGCACCCTGGAGCCTGACCACAGTGAGGTTGTTGTTGACGGGCTGGAAGGTGCAGCAGAGCAGTTCAGCGCCATCAGGGTCAGGGATCTCCCGGATGCAGCGGCCGTCCTCAGAGGCCCAGATGCGCATGGTGGCATCGAGTGAGGTGGACACGAGGATGTCATTGGAGAGGGACCAGGCGAAGTCAGAGACGCCGCGGGTGTGGCCCCGCAGCACGCGGAGCACGGTGGGTGGGGCGGGCACCAGCTGGCACAGGGAGATGCTGCCATCGAGGGAGCAGCAGGCCAGGCGGTGCCGGTCATCATTGGCGAAGCGCACCCTTGGGACTGCAATGTCAAAGAGTCATTTGTGGGAGTCAGCACACTCACTGGGCACTTTTTTTTGAGTTGGAGTCTCACTCTGTCGCCCAGACTGGAGTGCAGTGGCCGCTCC